AAAGTGAATCGGCCGAAAAGGGAAGGGTACGATTTTAGTCGAAAAGGGAATTGGCGTTTTTTTTTAATTTGGTCGAAAAGTGAATCGGCCGAAAAGGGAAGGGTACRWTTTTGGTCGAAARGGGAATAGACTTTTTTTAAATTTGGTCGAAAAGTGAATCGGCCGAAAAGGGAAGKGTACGTTTTTGGTCGAAAACGGCTATGCCCAACAACTCTACCGATAATTAGCCTCGAATCTTGGTTGTCATTACCTGACGGCTGACATAATGAAAAAATCTTAAATCACACTCATAAAGGTTTCTACAACCGGAGAATTGATTTATTCATAATATTGGACTGACATCAACTATATTAAGACAAGGAAACGTACAAAAAAGACACGTTGAAAAAGTGACGTAAATAATTTTTTTTTAGTAAGTATAACTTGAAGATCTGTTCTACAAACCATCAGGATTTTTTATTTTTTTTAAAGAAAACATATACAATTTATTTCTATAATATAATATTATGGTCGTGCATACTGCTTGCGTGTTTTCAAAAAACGTCCAGTTAGGTTAGGGTCCATTGTTATACCATGGTTTAATTTATGCGTACTTGTATATTATATAGACATTATTTACTAGGAAAATTATAGAGGTGAGACGTATTGACGGAACAGCGGCAAAGAACACTGCAGTGCTCTACATGCGCTTATTTTTATATACAATAATAATACGATATTCATTCGATATTTTGAGAAGCTTATTGAACTTTAAAATATGGGACGAAAAAAACGAGATGCGCTTGAAAAAAACTTAATTAAATCACTCCGGGAAAGATATTTTGTTTTCAACGTGATATAATGAAACCCATATTTTGTCTACAAATTATAAATAGGTACCTACGCTATGATATAATATGATATGAGAAATCTTAACCGTTTTGCCGACGATTGTACACATTATATTATGTATAACGACGCCGTAGTAATTTTATACATCCCGCTCGCGTACCCGCAGGGACAGTGTTAGACGGGGGCAACTCCCGAGTGAGTTTTCGTACAGCGTGTCCGTTGTCAGGGTGTATAATTACGCACCTCGTTCACGACCGTCGCCAATATATTATCATCATCATCATCATCATCACGAGACGTTCATGATTATAATTAATTTTTATATATATATATATATATTTTTAGGATATTTCCATTTTTTCTCCTTGTAATATTATTATCTCTTATAACAACGCCAATATAACATACACCTAAACATTTACACTCGATAACAGTAAAGAAAGTGTGGTCCATGTTTAATGTATATCGAACATAATGAATAAGTGCAGGGAATTAAAAAAAAAACTTAGTGGGTCAATAAAAACTTGTGGGGCTTGCCAGACGTGTTCCGTGGTTTGGAGACCACTGCATTATTATTCCATAGGTGACGTAATAATATTATATGTGCAGGTACTCACTCATCGTGGAGTTAGTCTTCCTCAGGATCGGACAAATCTTCCACAAACCGATCTGAAACGCGGCGACCGTGTAGGCACCGTCCGCTCCGGGCACCATGTACGGTTCCCTGGTGGTAACCCATGAACCAGTCACGAAACCAGTCAACAGTATGCCCAGGGACGCGACGCCGAACGCGACGCTCGTCCGGGATACGTTCTCCGGCTCTTGGCTCACCGCGCACATTTTGCTCGACGCCCCGCCGCAGTACCAAAGAGTCACCGCCGTCGCAACGCGGCCATCGCGCCTCCGAGCCGCCACCACAGCAAGTTTAGCAAGATTTTCACCTAATACAAGAATCGGTATAAATTTAATGTGTTCATATTGTTATTAATTTATATCGTCGTTGACAGCCCGCGGTCATCTATTATAGAAATAGACGGAACATTAGGCATGATAACGCGAGCAAGTGGGCGGAGCCTTTTACAAGGATCGAGCGTTAAAAACAGCGGAAAATAATTTTGAATATTAAAATATATCCATATTATTACAAATATAATATATCTATAACTTATAGAAATTTTATGAACGATTATAAAAATATTATTCACAAAAGTAGGCCATGTTATTACTTATTAGATTTTAAATTCTTAGAGTAAAATCATACTATGATAGTTTCACAATTCACAATTCACAAATCATTGTCTTATCATTAAGAAAATAATTAAATTGAACCATGGTTTTAATCGACTGTCCTCGGAATAGTGCCAATTCTATCACTCTCTTATGATAAAACTCTTTCTATTTCTCTTAATCCGGCAAATGTTCCACCTATTTGTTTAAGTCTATGCCCACGACATTAATCGAAAGCAGGCAACAACGCATTATAATGATACACACTGCATGTTTACATATTTTTTAATCGAAGAATTATTCTAAGCAATATTGAATATATACATATATTATAAATTTAAAGTAAATAATAGTGATTTAGGGTCCGTTCTTTATAGCTTTTAAATATTATATGGTTTGTAAAATAATGAATGAATTTTAAATTTTTTTTTCGGATCAATAAGTTATCACATATTTTTTCAGTTTTAATAACGCTATGATATGTTTTTGTTTTTACCGCCATTACACTTTTATTGTTATTTTAAAGAAAACCCTATGCATACGATATACAAACAAAATTAGATTATTTTAAATAAACATATTATTCTCTTTTTTTCATACGTAAATTATTTATTTAAAGTAAAAATATGTATAAATATAGCACTGTGATTTCCGAGGAACTTTTTTAGTAGTAATGTGAATTTTTAAAATTTTTAACCATTTTAAATTACTGGAAGGCTATCCCTATTCATTACTACTCAATGCTCATATATCTATTATGTATACAGGGGTAACAAAAAGATCTGACAAAAAAAATAAATATGCTAATATTATTATGCTCAGCAAATTCTCAAAAATCATATTTTTTTTAAAGAATTTATTTCGTTCCAAATTAATTTAATCAAAAAAATATTTAATTTAAAAAAATTCTAAATAATAAATTACTTGACTTAGATAAATCTTTTTACCGTCAAAATTGTTCTTATAATCAAATTCACAAATAGGCTATTATGAATTTATCCAAAAATGTTTTTATTAAATTAATTTTTTTTTTACTTTCAGTACTAAAAAATAAACATAAAAAAGTGTTTTAAGCATGTAGCGCTAACTTAATGGACAAAAAAAAAATTTAAAAATATTAGTTTGAACAAAAGTTATTCTAAAAGTCAGTTCTATTTATTACCTTGTATATTGTATATATTAATATTTCTCAGATATCGGGAATGTTTACGATTGCATTACCTTACCTAGCTATTAGTTATTATTTTTATTTTTGTTTAATTATAATAATTATATCAATTTGTTTACGTTAATTGCATGTATATAATTATTATATTATATTAATAACCCTCAATATCATTGTATTCGTAAAAGCCACGTGTTATTTCCAAAAACCGTATCGGACACATTTGAGATAATTTGTGTACGTCTATATAATATTTTGTTTGAAATATTTTGATTAAAATGTATGGTGCAGTGTATATCTATTCCAACCTTGCAGATGCAGAAGTGACAAGACAAAGAGTGGGTAGACAGGAAGACAGCTCACATGATGTATACGTGAGATAGTCAAACACAACCAAAAATTTGAATATTTCATAAGCCCCTTTTCAGTAGGTATTGGAAAAGGACTCTTTTAATATTTGACGTTTCACGTGGATTGAAAGGTTCGATTTGAAATTGGGACGGGGTTGATATTGTAATCGAAGTTGTAAAGTATTTTTATTTTTTGTCCGTATACGTTAACCCGCGAATGAACATTTATTCGGGAATAATACCAAAGTGTTTCGCTACCAAAAAAATCAGCGTGTGTGTACCCAAATTGGTAATGTATTTTTTGGAAATATTATGAAACAGTAATACCCGTAATACTACCACGGCTTCGCATGAGTATAGCATCATAATTCGTAACATACATCCATATAAATAATAATAAATATAAAATAAACACGTGATCACTGTGTAAGGGGCGGGGGAATTGGCGTAGTGAACGTGGGCCCTACGAAATACGCGAAACACATGAACCGTAATATTATTATTCACATATATTATAATATTGTAGTATTTACTCGTTTTTAATTAAATGTTAAATTTAAAAAACCCGACAGTACTGTACAATACATATATTATTATAATATTGTGTAGGTATAGCGCAAAAAATAAATTTTAATACTTGTTTTCCAAATAACAATGTTCGTAGTCTCCGAAACGTAGCCAACTTGCGATATACATTATACACACATATACAACGATCGAATTTGGAAAGTGGTAGACGAACGGGCCTCTCTACTTTTTGTTTGCGTAACCAATATCCATTATTTACTGAAACGAGAGGAGACAAAAACTGACGCCTGAGTGAAATTATCATTAAAAATGGATGTAAATTGCTGTCGAAAATACTGCCTTCTCGTCGTCAATAAATTAATTAGAAAAATGTAATGAATTTCAACATTTTTAATATTTTTGATAATATTAGTTTAGACTAATTTGTTTATTTGGTAACTCGCCAGTTGCGGCCACCCATTCAGGTCCGTCCAACGATCTCTCTCTGTCTTAGCGAACGCAATAATAATTTTACCAATATAATATATTGCAAATATTTAAACTGATTATGTTATCACTTAATCAGTTTAAGTACCTATCAMTAATTGTTGTTTTTCTAAGAGACAACTAAATTCATGAACTATATATATATAGCCATATATATTGGATAAATTTAGGTTGAACAACATATTATGATATATTTTTACATTTTTAATTCATGTATACGAATGAAATAATTGTAATATTTCAAAAAAAATATTCTGATGTCCCCCCGTGTCTGTATTAAATCATTTTCCACTTGAAACGCTGTATTCAAATCATTATATTAAACTCTCCTAGTTAATTTTACCAAATTCGAGCGCAGTGTTCGTACCTATATATGTGCGGTACAAAAGCACATAAACTGTCAGATTGACCGATAAGCATATAATATGGATTGCAGTGGTGTTATTGTTATTTTTATTATTTTATACCTGTACGCACGCAATAATAATTAAGCAGCTTAACATTTAGAGTTCTAAAATTTCATTAAATTTATGTTTATAAAATGTTTAATTTTTATGAAAAATAATAAAAAATCATTTTAATTTAAATCTAGAATAGAAATGTTATTGAAATATTTTTTACATGCCTAGTACGTTGTACAAAAAAAATACATAAAATTCATATAAACATACTTAAAAAAGTTTCAAAACACATGAATTACCTAAATAAATTTCTTAATTCATGTTTATTTAATATTATATATATAATTATACTAATTAGATATAGTTATAATCAGAGTCCCTATCATAATAATCTGGTTAAAAGTTATATTATATTCCTATTTAAATACAAATAAAATAAAAATTTTATATTTATTAAATCCTTAGTATAAAAGTATTATTAAAATTTATAATTTACAACATATAGAGCTAATATAATATTATATTATAAATTATAAAATAAAATAAAAACATAATTATGAACCGATAATTAGCTATGAAATCAGTGTGACTAATATCTAGTAATGATTTTGTCAAACAAACAAAAAATTCAAAATTCAAATATTTCAAGAAGGCTGAAAGTTTCAACTTTAAAATATTTCAAAGTGAAAATTGTATGTGAAATATTTCATACGCATAACCCTTTAACATTAAATGTATCATTGTTCGTTGTATCAACCAACGACTTGCGCGTAATATTGTATGAACGCATCAAGTCGTACCGCTCGAGCGTATTTATATCGGCGAACATTTTTTACGAGAACAAGTTTAGAACACATTTTTGAAATCGACATACCTATATAACCCCTAAAATACATTTGTAGAGCTCTCTAATTGTATTGAAAAAAAAACCATTTTTTCCCTCCACAAAACCATATTATTATTATTATATCGTTCATGTAGGTGTTTTCCGCTCAGTTAACCCTTAGGTATATAATATACGCGACTGCCAATCGATCGATAAGTACCTTGGCTCACGGGATACCTAAAGAAAAACTATCTGTGCTGTGTATGCGTGTATGTGTGTAGGCGAGCGTGATAAACGGGACGAATACTTTTGTGAGAGAACACGTGTGGGTCTGCAACATTATACGATATCATCATCGTCCCAAGGCAGACGACATGTCGGCAGACAATAATAATATTATTTATATACGATATATTCGATATTATATTATATTACTTATTACTATAGGTTTTATCATAAAAATATTTGTAAACAAGTTGTCACGAAAGGATTACGATCATCTCCACCCGCACCTATACATATATTTTAATTTGGGATCTATGGGTGTGCAATTTTACTACATATAACATATATTTTTTATGTATCTAGGTGATTGTTGTTGTGCATGAAACATAACTACTATGCAACTGAATCGGGATAAAAAGAAAAATGTTTGTAAAATGTTATCTGCCTATTTGTAGAAAACATTTTACTTTGGAGGATATTATAATTAGTCTACTTTTCATATTTTAAAATATAGTACTTTTGTAATATTGTCCACAAACAATGATAATTTCTCATTTCCCAAGAGCTGCTTTTTTTGTAGCACACAATAATTTTTGTATCATGAAAAAAATAATTGAAATCGTTCGACAAATGTCTTGTAGGAAACTTTGAAATTTATCGTTTATCCATATCGATGGTATATATTTTATTGAATCGTTTATCTTGGTCACAATGATCATCATCTCGGTC